AATAACTTTATGGAAATAGTATTTACCATTGAAAACTAGTAGAGTGGTTGAGCCATCTCAATCAAGCTCTATAAGAGGTAACCTTGGGAAGAGGAAAAACATAGGTGTACATCAAGTTGAAGCACCTATTTTTCATCCAAGAGGTTAATGGGAAGCTCTGTGTAAAGCTAATAGTAAAATTTTCCCATAAGATAATATAGCCAATCCTCGCTTCTTAGTTCTTGACTCCAATGAGCACCACTGCCTCCAAATGTCATTGGTGTGACATCTCAAGCAACATTTTTTTATTCCACATCAACCATAAGCCATTGCTAAAGATCCTTTGGATTCAAATAGTTCAATAATAAATAAGCATTATTAAATTAGATTAATCAAAGGAATCTTGGATAAGTAGAACATAAAGATATCTTATTGGGTCTTCTTATTTCAATAAGCGATCTTATTAAGCATCTCTTGACTATCGACCAAGTAACTCCAATTCTTATTCCTCTATTACAACCTCTATACCCATGTTGGTATAAGCCGGAAGACATACACAAGTATCATAACATTATTGTCAATCAAAAATTTGATGATTTTCTTTGTTTTAAGAAAAGAGTTTGATCATTAATCGACTAAGGATGGATTACATTGAAAAAACTCCAAGTTTTTTGAATATGAGCACTAATCTAGTGCCAAACCATTCTATTACTAGAAGGGTAAACATGATGTTATATGTGATAGGAAGATGTTAGTGTTGAAGATTTTGTCTAGTTTTTTTGACATAATGAATGTCAATGTTATTGTTAAGAAGCCTATAGAAGCATAAGCTTTTGTTCATGCTAAATACTTTTGCAAATTCTAAAAAGCAAGCGGTCATGACATTGATGAATTTTTTGAATTCCATCAAATATTGCAACTATATTGATAATGAGAACTTTGAGGATGGAAAAGGAAGAAAAAAAAGCTTAAGGTAAATGTGTTATCCTTGAAACATGATACTGATTGAACTAAATTCTTCAAATATGAGTCAACTGGTGTAGGCCCTATGAAGCTAATCTTAAAAGCACCTACTCCTATAAAGGTCGACTACTCGAGCTATTCCTTATAAATGTAGGCCTACTACTTGTTTTAATAAGTCATATATTGTTTGTGAAGATTTTTTCGGTGATGGAGTTGATATTAAGGGAGTTACACATACATAAAAGTTCTTTACTCCTAAATAGTTGAGAGTAACAAAGGAAAATTTATTAAGTCCATTCATTTCAATGCTGAAATAGTAGTTATGAACAAAAAAAATTAAATCCTTTCTTGTGAATTTTTAAGAGAATAAACATATCAATAATGAAAAAGCTATGGAATTTCTAAAATTGATGAAGTATAATGAGTATAGCATAGTGAACCAATCAAACAAGACACTTACTTATATCTCTTTGCTATCATTAATACTCAACTCTAAGCCTCATCAAAAAGCACACTAAAAAGTCCGTAATAAAGCATATGCTCTGTAAGCTATCACTTATGAATCGATGGAACATATATTTGATAGAACACAAGTTATTAATTATTTGTAGTTTGTTAAGACAAGTTGGTACTTAAAGATACTAATCGTAACAAGGCCTTGTACATCATTGTTAAGTACAAGGATCACATGATGGTGAAATTATTGATTGATAATGGGTCCTTTTTCAATGGTTTACAAAAGTATGTTATAGACTATCTAATGGTTAATCTTTTGTATATAACATAAAGTAAGATAATGGAAAGAGCTTATGATGGTACATCTCAATAAGTCATTACCGATATAGACCTAGGCATTGAATAAATGAGGATGCTCAAGTTGTTGAATGTTGAGGTAGAAGGACTTTATGATGGTACACCTCAACTAGACGTATAAGAATGTATATGTTCCATATATTAAGATAGAAGGAACTTATAATGGAAATTTGCATTCCTTTAAGGTGGTTAATGTTGAGTTAATTCCTTAGAATTTATAAATGAGGATGCTCAAGCTATTGAATGTTTTGAAAATAACTACAAAATATATGGTGAGGTTTGGTTTGTTACCATATGGCATAGATGATGGATTTTATAAGAGCCTTTACTTTTGAAATATGGAATTATTAACCAATGTTTTGGATTGGGTTTCAAACCATCCAAGAAAGACTATCGAGTAATGATAGAATAGAAACAAGAGAAAATATTGGCTTGTATTAAGGAGGAAAAGATCCCAATACTAGAGAGATTGAAATTCCTCACATCCATGTTACATTCCTAAGGCCTTAGTATATGGCATTTATGAATGATGAAGATTTAAAGTTTAGGTATATATTTGATGACATGGTAGTCAATACTCCGGGGGTAGCAATGGCAAATGGTGAAGATCAGTATGTATCATCGACATCATCATCAACTAGCTCAAGTGTTATGACCTTTACGTAACTTAATGTTAACATGATGGAGCAATCTTTCCACATTAATCATCTTGTCTAATAGCGTGTCATGGGCAAAGAGCTAACCAACTAGTCCGATGCGAAGGTTTTTGTTGTTTGTAAAACCAAGTAATTATCTTTATCATGTTTTTCTTTAACCTTTCAATCAAATTTTATCTCGAATCTTGTAAAAGAACTCTTGATTTAGAGCCTTATTTTGTTCATAAATAATACTAATACATCAAATTATGTAAAATTTATCTTGAAATATCTTGTTTGCATTATGTTTATCTTCATTTTATTTGCATATTTTTTATTTATTTTAAAGATATTCATTTTGATCAACTATTTGAAAACGAAAATAATTACAATAAAAATGATTGACCTATCTTTGATTAAATTTTAATTGCAATGGATAAAAAAGAGTGAGATGCGAACAATATAAAAAAAAATTCACTTGATTGGTAGAATTGTCAAAATAGTCCATTAAGTTTCACAAAGAAGAGTTAGAAGTGATAAATATAAGGATTGATGAAAACGGATGAGAGTTAAAGGTCAAAGCCTTGATGGAGGAAGTCAAGCTAGAAAAATATTCTAATGTCTTTGTTTGGTCATATGCTAATATGCTAGGATTAGACATTGAGATAGTTAAGTATAAATTATCTCCGAACCTAGGATGTAAGCTTACGAAACAAAAGTTGAAAAGGACGAGGCTAGATGTTTTGCTTAAAGTTAAAAGGAAGATTAAGAAATAATGGGATGCTAAATTCTTAGAAGTTGTTGATTACCTCCAATAGGTGTCAAACATTATTGTAATAGATAAGAATGATGGAAGGATTAAGATGCAACCTACTCCTTCAAGATAGATTTTTAGGATATAATTAAATCAAGATGGTCATGAAAGATAAAGAGAAAATGGTGTTTATCACAATTTGGAGAACTTTTTATTACAAAGTCATGCATTTCGGGAAGAAAATATTAGGGTTACCTATCAAAGAGCCATTAGTGTACTATTATATAACATGATGCATGGAGAAGTTAAAGTGTATATGGAAGATTTGATTATAAAATCCAAAAATGGCAGTGATCTTACTCCGATTATAAGAAGACTATTTGAAAGTTTGAAGAAATATCAATCGAGGTTAAATCCATCAAAGTGCACCTTTGGTGTAAAGTTAGGAAAATTGCTTGGGTTCATATTAAGTAATAGAGGAATCAGAGTTGATTATGACAAACTTAAGGCCATTGAAAGTATGCCATCACCATCAACTAAGAATGAAGTCAAAAGTTTCTTAGGTCAATTGAAATACAAAAGAAGCTTCAATGGATCATTACTAAGATGTCTTGTTGTAGCCAAGGCAAAGAAGATCATAAGCGAATTTCATGTGGAAATTTATGTTACACATACCAATAGACATATGATGACTCAAAGATTCGAGTAAAGTGATTATTATTGGACCACCTTGTAAAAAGATTGCATTGATTATATGTAGAAATTTCATAAGTGTTAAATTTACGTCAATCAAATAAATGCATCTCTAGCAATTTTTTTCAACATGGTATCACCATGCCATTTGTAATGTGAGGCATGGATATGATTGAGCCAATAAATCCTAAAGAAAGCAATGAGTGTTGGTTCATTATCATGACGATTGATTATTAACAAAGTGGATCGAAGGCACTTCTTTTACGTAAGTGACTCAAAAGGTTGTGCACCAGTTTGTTGAGAAGGATATCATCATCAAATATGGCTCTCCGTAAACTCTCACAATAGAAAATGTTCAAAACTTCAATGGAAAATTAATGATAGATGTGTACTTGTCATCAAATATGACAAGTACAACAAGACAAACATTTCACATCTAATTCATCCACAAGCATAATAATATTTCATCATTTTCATTTATTATTTTAGACAATCCATATTAGTTCAAAAATTACCCAATATCATAAGAGTGTTAATAATTCCTCTTTTGGGTCAATTTTACTTCCTTTAATCTCGATGAAGGCTAATTATTTTAGTCACCCAAAAAGAAAGAAATAATTATTTATGAGCTCTCTTTTGTTTATATTCTGTTCAATCCAATATTCCATAATAGAAATTAGTTCTATTTTTTTTATCCAATATTCATGTTCTTTCGTAAACAAATACGCCATTTAGTTTGGTTTCATGTTCCTTTACCAACGAAACATAAAAATACGAAATATGTAGTCTACAACCTTAAGTTATTCCTACCAAACAACACAAAATCTATACATTTTGTTCGATCCACTACTAACACAAAGCAAGCCGTAATTATGTATTTTTGTTTTATCTAAAACTTATTCTGGTTATTTATTCTAAGATTGATATGTTGAGTGTTTTTTCAATTGAGTGTCCCGATTGGACAATAGTAGTGGTTTGGTGACTTGGTTAGTGGCATTAGGCTACTATGCTTATGGGAGGTATAGAAGGTTTGGCTAGTTGTTCAGCTAGTACGATAGTAACATCTAGCAATTTTAAAAGATCTTGTAGGTTCGATTGTAAGGTGAAATAAGGATGAAGTAGTCTAGAAATTAGTTTTTGATGAATGAGGGCATAAGAGACGAATGGATGGTGGCTTCTATGGGTGGTATGGTGGTTCAATTATTGGAGAAGAAAAAAGGGTTTGTGGTAATGATGGTTTCATCTAGATGAAGATGGTAGCTAGAGTTTTTTTTTAAAGGGTGATCAATAATGGATATCGATCATATAATATGAGGCGGATAAAGATTGGCATGTGGTTGAATAGTGAAGGGAAGGTGATGCTCGTGTGGGTGGTGGTTGGCTTTTATATGTGAAGGCTAATGATAATGGCATGGTGATTTAGTGGCATGAGAGGAGAATGAAGGCTATTGGTGGTTGTATGCCTTGGGTGCTAGTGCTTGATGGATGGGCTAGTTTGGTGAGAGAAGGAGGTAAGGTGTTGGGTAAGGTAGGAGATGATGTGGAGGTCTGTTGGATTTTTGGAAAGATGATGAATCAAGTGAGTCTGGTTGGAGGAAGGCAATTGTGATGGTGGTTTAGGTGGTTAGTGTTTCGAGTGGTAGAGGATGAAAGAGGTTATGATAAAGAAGCTAGGGTTTCATCCAAATCAAAGGAGATAGTGGAAGCCAACTTTGAGAAAGATGGTGAATAATGTAAGCCCCTCTTCAAAATGAGAGAGAAAATGGGTATTCGTACGAAAAAATTAGAATTTTAGGTAACATTAATTTGAGTCCCCGATTTTTTCATCATTGTTAATTTTAGTGTCATTTGACTTATTTGAACTTAAATGGCACCCTTAATTATAATAATTAGGAACTTTTTTAATTTCTCCTAATTGTACCCTTCCTTTAATTTAATTAAGGGTCCGGGTTTTGGATTTTTTAACCGCACCTTTCATTAGGTTTCTTTTGGTTCCTAAACTTCCTATTTCTTTTAATTCAATCTCTATTCTTTTTTTTTCTTTTCTCATGAGATTAAGACACTTAAGTGTTGTAAAAATTAGGTGTTAACTACTATTAGCCTAGTTAACACCCATAAACGTATAAAGCCAAAGAGAGGAATGGCAACTAAAATGAAGATCGTGAAAAAAAGTGTGTTAGAGATAGTAAAGGATTCATTTGATAGCCAACCAATTATCTTCATTAACAGCAAAGTCGATGTCAAGATGAGTAACAGTTAAGTATCATAAAGCACCAATAATCTAACAATACCTATAAGCCAAAAGAAAGGGCTTGTATTTTTTATGTTGAGCTTCATGAAAGTAGATGTCGGAATAGCCATGGGTTTGCATTGGAACATCACAACAAAAGCTATAATATCCTAAATGTATTTTCACTAACATAGAAAAAAGGTTGTGACTAGTAGAAGTCACCTCAACACTAAAAAGTCAAAGTACCAAGATCATGGAGGTGAAATTTAGCAACAAGTCGTGTAATACGACTTGTAATAAAAGAAGAGCTATTAACCATTATTAGAATACCATTAACATAAAATAAGGGAAAGATGGAAACCTCGGTAGTATGTAGAATAAAAAAAGAAGTGCCAAGTGGAGTTTACAAACTAAAGATGTTGGTGAAACTTACTAAAAGAGTACTTGATGTTGGTTAAGTGAAGATGACGGTAATATGTAAAACACAATCACAAACAACCACTAATCCAAAATTCATCAGCAATAAATTGACAAATAACAATGTTCAATCCTGAAAAACCAAACCACAAATATATCTCAAACAAAAACCGATCCAATCCGTTAAATAACCCAAGCCGAAACCAACCTATAAGCAATAACACATAAACTCGAAACCCTAGTGATAGTCGGACCACAAGCTACACTTGTCTATTAATTCTAAAAATTTAACTAACTCATAATTAGGTCTAGTAGAAGACTCAATCAAAATTATTAAACAAACTAAAACCTCTAACCTATTCTTTGACCTTAGCCGAAGCTCACAAACAATAGCAAAGGTAAACCGAAAATCCTAAATCTTCAAACTAATAATTCAATACTTGTAACATATGATTCCAATAAAAAATACAATTCCAAAATGTGATAAGAGTAAAGCATAAGCTTAGACCTAATTATGTATAAAGATTTCACTTGCATAGGATACTTATACCAAACCTTAAGGATATAGACACCATCTTAATAAATTATTGTAGATGATCAAGTCACTAGCTGAGTCGATCAATTTAAAAATACAAAAAAGCATGTACTATATTACATAGAAAACGTAAATTTATATAAAAAAAAAATTCTCACAAAAAAAATATATATATATTTAACTTTCGATAGCAAAAGTTAGAACCTTTACAAGTATAATTTGCTTAAATACTAGACAAGATATTCAACTGGGGTAGAAAAACTTGTCCAATTGGACTAAAAAAAACTAGCCTATGTCGAATTAATAAGAAAGAAAAAATAACTTCATAAATCTAGTTGTACTTAATGCAATCTATATTCAATAAAGGACTTAATTAACTTAGTCCAAATTAAATAAAGATCCATATATACATGGACTATGGACTCCTAAAATAATATAGATGCACATCAAATAAGGAGTCCAAAATAAATATGAATCTATAACACACAAGGATCCAAAACTTTCATCCACCTATAACTTATTCAACCAACCCCGATAAAGTAAACAATCCATAATCCACAAGGACTAATTTAATTAACTCAAGTCCAAACATTAAAATATCTAAAATAAAAAATTCAAACCCAAAATAAGATTAAATAAATAATAAATAAGATAGATTTGTTGAATAATTTAGCCATTAAGACTAAAATATATTTAGCCAAGGTGTGAGGAGATAATCCTATATCAGTATCAAGTACGAGATGCTTGCTTCAACTCATATAAATATTTATGAACATGATTAGAATAGGCAGAATTAACAAAGGGTGAAATTCAGCTCGTGCTCTTATATTATTCATCTTCTATTTTAACCTATATATCAGATATGGTACAAAACAAAACCTATATTACTAAATATTGAACCAAACTAGTATTTTCATCCAATGTTTAACCAATCATATAATAACATGTAGCTAGCAAAGGTGGATGAAAGGGTAAGTTTGTTCTAGGATTTATTTTATATCATACCTGGATAGAAGGATTAAAATGAATAATACTAGATAGTGCAAGGCAAGAGATGAATTTTACCTAATTAACAAAGCTGTGGGGTTCCTCTATAGACACGTCTTTATTGAAAACACCATTCAGAAATGTATTATGAATATCAAGCTCACAATGCTTAGAAATGGCAACTGAGAATAATACGAATAGCTGTAGGTCTAACCGCAAGGCTAAAAGTTTTGATGTAGTCCACAACCTCTTGTTGATGAACCATTTTTTCAACCATTTTTTCACAAGCCTTGCCTTATTATGCTCAATAGATTCATTATGGTTTTTACATGATAAATCTAGTGATACACATAAACATTCATATGAGAAAGATAGGGAACATGAGGTCATGCATGATAGAATGTAAGGCATCCATTTCAGTAAGCATAACAATATACCATTTAGAGTAAAGTTTCACCTTTTCTAAGGAGACGGCTTCCTAATCTGGAGTGAAAAACCGAGAGGTAGAAGTTGGTGAGCTAGAAATAGTGTTGAGATTTGCTGCTAGTTTGGAACGGATATGAGGATGACAATGTTTCCATAAGGATTGTTAGACAGTGGTAGTAAGTGGTGGTAGCTAAAATTCTGAAAGATCAACCACCAAGTTCAATCTGCGTCTGCGTAGAGATATAAGAGAATGACATATGAAATGGCTTACGATATAACTAGCCATAGATAGTAACAACATTGTAGTGGTCTAAGAGGAACCGGAAGAAATCAATAAAGGGGACATAAGGTGCTGAGAGTGAACCATGGAGTAGGTAATAGGAGAGGAAGTGGATGATTGGGAGAAGCCAATCATTTGTTGCGATACAGAGCGATCCCTATTTAAGCTTTGCAAAAGGATAAGCATTTTTTATGAAAATTTAAATGTCGTGTAGTATAACTTTTGTTAGTAGAAATTCAAAACAAATAAACCCAAGATGATTGGTACCATATCCAAGAAAAACACAAGAAAATGATTGAAAATCCATTTTATATTTGTTAAAAGGGTGAAAAAAGGGAAAATAAAGGCAGTTGAATGTCTTGAAAAAATGATAATCAAGTTTAAGATGATAAAGCTACTCGAAATGGGACTTACCATTAAGAATCCTAGTAGGCATGTAATTGATCAAATAAATAACAGTGGCAAATATTATAACAACATGCCACTGAATGGAGGAGCAAAATTAGTGTGCAAGGCATACTGACAGCGTTATGGGCATGATTAAATAGTGTGATTTCGTCCATTCTTTAGTTGGAAACGTGTGTTTTGGTCAGGTGGAGCAGTAGACCATTGAGATTGATATCAAGATAGTGTTTTTCTCTGAATTGGCCTGCTGTCGAGAGTTGGAACCACTCACTCTATTTTTTTCCAGCATCCTCGATTTTGAGCCCTACTACCACAGGAAGAGGAGTGTTTTTTACTACTGTTTATAGTACAACTTGTGAGGCTGTTACTGTCATAGTTTAATGATGATTATAATATCATTTAATTCTCCATGCAATCCCTTAATGACATAGAGATTGAAATCTTAAACAAGTAGTGGTCTAGTTACTGTAGCTAATTTATCATTGTTATGCTTTTCTTTTTAGCAAATAAACAAATATAGAATCATCATTTTGTTGAGTTCTTGAAGTGACTATGAAGCTGTATAATTCTAGCGATAGAGGGAGACACCAATGTGTGCTTTAGAGCAAACCAATTACTATGAAAGGAAGTGCATCCAATAATTAAATAAAATACTTGGTGAGGTAAAGAGACAATCAAGATGCTCATCAATCGTTGTCCTGCTGATCCCAGGCAAATAAAGTTGAATTAAGTTATAGAAAAGAGTCATGGTCACTGATTTGATGAGATGGTGGATATGGTCGGGATACATTAAAAATAAAAAAAATAAAAAAAATAAAAATAACAAAATAACAAAATAACCCTTAATCATGTAGAACGGGTTCATTTAGAGTTCTCAAAACAAATAATTTGTTCCAATTAATCTCAACAAAATATAATGATGGAGGAATAGCATGAGCAGGCATGGGAGGGTTGCTATTGCAAGACTGTCAAATGAGAGGCTGTCCATTATTGTAAAACTATCAAAGAGAAGGCTACCAGAATTCTCATATCTATCCTTTTGTGATCCAAAATATCATATTGGATGAAATCTATCTTCAATCCAATCTATTTATAACTTGAACTTATGTTTGAAAAAAAAAAAAAACATTGATTAATCCATAATAAAATTACCTAAATTATTAATTAATTTCTATGGAGAATTTAAGCATATACACAGATTATAATAAATTGAAATTAACTAGAACATGATATACATCAGTTTTGAATGGGAAAATTACATTACATGTTTAGATGTGAAACTCTATTTGTAAATGTGGTGGAGTTTTGGTGTACTGGAGGCTTGTTCAACATACAAGTGGTTGGCCTAAACCCCAATAAATATCCTTGTTTTTTTTTTTAAAAAAAAAAAAGAAATCTCTCCACTTATTTCGCCCCGTTAATTAGCTAAAATTTTGTATCTTTTAAAAGAATTACCACAAGTTATTGTTCGTAATTACAAGCACATCGCCAATGACTTTTGGCTAATTGGCATGAAAGTCAATTTGCCGGTACTGGGACTCTATAAGCATTGCCTGTATTCCTAGAATGATAGAAGACTAGGTCCTTAGGTTGAGAGTAAATAACAATCTGATGGATATTCTTATTTGACGTCAAAACAAATGCAGCACGTCCTCAAGTAAAATATCACTATTATCACACCAAAAATAGAGCGAGATAATGAGTATAAATGATCCAATGTTTCTGGGATTTAAGAAAATGCTTAAGGCATAAACAAAACAAAATAGCAACACTGATACGTCAAGAAATCTAAGCAATTGAGATTCCAGGTTCGTCATTTGATCCATTTTGTCCATCCATTTTCTGAGTAGATTTTATCTTTTCTTTGATTTTTCTTGTCTCATTTTTTTTTTTTTCCTAGGACTACCAAATTATGTGACGCTTAATTTGATGATGATAACATACATTTTCAACATTCAGGATAAAGAGCACAGGCACTCTTTCAACATGCATGCATGCTTGTTAATTAATTAAGATATTATTGAGTAACGTTTAAAAATACTTCAATAGTCTGCCTTAATCTCTTTTTGGTTTAAGTTTGAATAATGTCTTTTTTTTTTTCTTTTTTTTTGGGGGGGGAGGGGAGGGGGTGTTTGGGGTTTGGTGTGTCTATTTTAACTTGTTGAATAACCCAATATATGTTTTTTATTATTATTATAGATACGTTAAATTGAATATGGGAGAGAATGAAGCAACCGAAAAGAAGAAGCATGAGAAAAAAGAAAAACACGAAGATGATACCGATAAGAAGGAAGAGAAGGGAGATGAGAAAACAAAAGACAAGGAACGTAAAGATAAGGAAGATAAAGAAGATGGTGGAAAGGAGAAAAAGAAAAAGAACCCTGAAGATAAGAAGGACCCTGCAAAGCTAAGGGCTAAGCTAGAAAAGCTCAATGCCAAGATGGAGGCGCTAGCCAAAAAGAAGGAGGATATTGTTAAACTTCTTCAAGAAGTTGAAATCAATGCCACAAAACCAAGTGGAGAAGCCGCTTGAACCTGGAAGCTAGCGTCCTTCAGGTTATATATATATATAATAGATTGAGTACTACCAATATGATCCTTCACATATAAATAATTAGCGTATGTACGTACAAGGATCCATGCACTTTTATGATATGAAGGCCAGCTGCAATAACGTTAGTTGTACCACCTGCAATAGCTCAATACATTTGTGATATGTAAAAGTTGAAATTAAGAACCATTCGCTTTGAATATGTATTAGAAACGCATTTAACTTTATCAATATGAAGGCCAGGAAAATAAATAACTGGATATTGAACTGCAAAATTGTGAGCAGTCATTTCCGGGACGCGTTAGATAATTTGGGTGTCTAAGAACAAATTAACCAATATACGTTAGATAATTTGTGGTTTAAAATGTTAGATGATGCATCAAATATTTTTTTATTATATTCATTGACATTGGAAAACGGGGTCAGTAGTCGACTGACAAACTAGTAGTCTTTCTTAAAGATCTGTGACCATCAAGTAAATTAGGTTGGTCCCAGCAACGCCAACACACAACAACAGGACACACTTGTTGCTGCGTCTTAATAAGCTTGTGTGGTGAACGAAATTAACCTGGTCGGTAGCAATGCAAGTGTTACATCAATAAAGATAGCGGTTGCATTGAAACAGGCTTTATATATGTGTGTGTGTCTCGGGAGTTTTGTGTACATTGAACTACATAATAAAAAGAAATAAATTATAAATTAGTCCCTATCTTTTTTAGAAATGAACTAATTAATCCTCTTGATTTTAAAATATAATTATTTAAATTTTTAAACCTATTGTTGATCATGATTAATTTAATTTTTTTTTATTTTGTATCATCTTCTCATCAATCTTCTCATAAGTTTTACCTATTTTTTCCATTTAAAAAAAATCAAAATAAATTAAAAATAGCAAAAAGGACTAAATGATGAGATTTTGAAACCAAGGGGACTAATTAATTCATTTCTCAAAATGAGAGGGACTAATTTATAATTTACTCTAATAAAAAGTAGTTTTCTTTCATTATATAATAATTTATTAGAGAACATATTACATATACATTGAATAGATAAATAAAATATGAGTACTATATAAAGTTGAGAATAGACCACTCAAGACAAGACTTAAGTCTTTTGAATTGAGATAGCTTTCTATATGATATCAAAGTCTTGTTAATTTAAAGATTAAGAGTTTGAATCTTATCACTCTTATTTTTTTAATTAAATAATTAAGCACAAGCTAGTGGTAGGCATGTGTAAGTTTCAAATTCAAAGAGTTTTCACTTGAGGAAATGTGTTAAATAGTAATATAAAATTATCCTTGAAGGCTCATCCAAGGGTTTAAGTTCTTTGATATAACTAAATAAACTATAATCATTAGAACTCGAACCTATTTTACCAAAGAAAGCTACTAGATATGCATGCTTGTGTATTTAGATATTTTTTTTATTTAATAATAAAAGGTAACCTTTAATCGGCTTTTGTGCATTAATTGAGACTAGTTTTTTTTTTTTTTCGAGACAACTTAAAGGTTGCAACCTCCATATTAATCTGGTGCATTCAAAGAAATTATTCATGTAGATGTTGGTCCAAATTTGAATCTAAAAAACTTAAAACAAACAAACAAACAAACAAACAAACAAACAAAATTTCTTAACCACTAGTTGACCCATTGAGATTAAGTTTATTCCAAGAATTGCAATCAATTATTAATTATCATAACTTAATTAATTAGCTTTGTTTTAATAGGCCTTTAAATAACAATGTTAAATTAAGATACTAAGCAATCTCATGACAAAAAGTGTTTGGCAAGGTTTTATGCATTAGCTATCGACCTCCATCGGGATCTTATACTTGTTTTGAGAGTAAATAAAAATCATATTTCTACAATGAAAACTTTTAATTTCAAATGTAGAGGTGCAAGATTCATAGCTCGGGCATTATCATTACATCGAATGTTGCATTAATTAATTAACTAGTTATTGATGAGTTCATGATTCCTTGTTTAATAGGAACGGTTAGATGTTCTTCATTCTTAACCGATTGTGTGGTGGAGATTTGTTCTTGTCTTGGAGTTTTATGGTGAGTACTTGCAAAATAAAATCCTTCTCTTGGGTTTTACAAGACCCTCCAATGCATAAGTTAGCATTTAAAAAAAGGTGTTTGGCTCGATTAAGTTTGGCAGTATATCTTTCAATATCTATGGTGCGATTAGGCTTAATGGTATACTTTTTACTATATATAAAGAAGGTATTCAATACTAGTTTTTGTATATTATGGAGTGTGTAGAAAGTAGAATCTTTAACTCTTTTACATATGTAGGGTTAACCTTATATAGTGGATGTGAGGATGAGCAACTTGCATGGAGTGAAAAGCATATTTATCTTTTCCTTTAGGGTAAATAAGTCATTTTCTTATTATGTAACTCGCTTTTGATAGATGCATCTATAAATTGAAGATTCTCCTATATGAGTGTCTTGTATTAGCCTAAGTAGCATCATGTCTCAAGTTTGGTGTGTAGTGCCGTGTTTTTCATTTAATTCTTGTACTTTATACTTCTCTTTAATAGCATAGTGAGCCAAGCCTAGAGATAAATGGTGAGTTTGGTGCATGCATATCCCTAATTGTAGAAGTTCCTTTGGTATAGGGCTCGAGTAGGCAAGCTTGTAGTATGTAGGTCCCCTTTATAGTAGGTTGGTAACAAACATGTGTCGATTTATATTTTCTCGGACATATCTATAACCCTCCCGAGTCTTGACCAACCATATATGGTTGAAGACTCAAACTTTATATGTGTAATTTTTTGTGAGATTCTTATCGTTCATTGATTGTTCTCCCAAATAGTTGATTGGAAAAATTATCGTTATTTAATGTCTATTTCCCTAGACAATCGTTGGAAATTTTTTTTTATTTTGATGACTACTCTCAATTTTTGGCAAAACTATCTAGTAAGGGTCTGCTACTACTAGTGAAGGTCAATTCATTAATGGTGGCTACCAATCCATTGGTCCACTTATGCCTAGTGAGAGTCAAATGAATAATGAGGAATCAAAATATCTTTTACTTCTAATTCGGGTTCTCCCTTTTAAACCAATCTCACATCTAGTGTTTTTTTTTTTTTTTCATATTCCCTCAAGATTTTTCAAGCGTTCATGCTCCTCCTACTTGAACTCATGCTTTTAATCTTTTTCTTTTCCTTTTTCTCACTCAAGGAATGTCTAGAGGCCCTACTGGGGTGTCTTAGAGAATGAAGTTACTTGGTATAATTAGATTAGGATTTTTTGGATTTTTTATTTTTAACCAATGGTGCTTTATAGGATCATTTATGTGTTTTGAACTTCTATAAGATTTTGTCCTTTTTTATGGTTGTTTCCTGGCCAAAGGGTTTTTTTTTAAAAAAAAAGGATTTAAGATCTTTGTTGTTTACATGTAGTGACTACTTTGATTTTTTTTTCCTTCTTATCATGAGGTATTTTCAAACCTAGGCAAGACCAATCTTTGTATTTTTATCAAATACTAATCTTGATTTAAAGAGAGATTTTAACTCCTAAGAAGGTTTGTGGAGCCTTTATACTTGGATAAATTCTACCATGTCAATCTTCTATGGAATGAGTTCTTGATAGTAGATTCCATATAGCATAGACTTTCATATACTTCTTTAAACTTTATCCCCTTAAATTCCTTTTTGAGTTCAAATTCCAAAGCTTGTTAGGCTATACGCATTTCTTAGGTATTTTTAGGTATTTTTACCCAACACGTCGCCTTAGCTTCTATGAACCTATCTAAGTATTCCTTGATTGAATCTTTTAGGTATTGTTGATACTTTTCCAAGTCTAATAACTCTAACTCTAATTTTTTTTTTTTTTTTTTTTGAGAAATAGGCATGAAAGATCGCTTACATATCTACTTATAAATGAATGGAGTTTAGAGGCAAGTTTATATACCATGAAAATGCACTCAAAGTCAAAGAGCTTGGAAACAACCTATGGTTTAGCTATTCACAACCGAGAGGCCTCTCTATATTAGCATATGAACTTAGCTATGTATTATAATGATGTGATTGTTCCCTGTCTAGTGAACGAGTGAAATCTAGGAACCTAAAATTTGGTCCATAATGGTATTCTCTATCTACCTACTCGAAGATATGGTTGGCTATAAGTTCACCTATGAATTTGTTAGATTCTAAGTCCAAAGGCGTTTTTATAACTCTTAAGATGTACTTTGGATCTGGTTGTAGAGGTCACTATGGTGGATAATACTCTAGCCTAGGATCATTAGGTGGCACCCTCCACCTTCTAATTTTATTTTTTACCCTAGCTCTTTCATTTGGAGGTCTATAATTATGAATCCTTACCTCTAGAAATTCATGAGGTTCTCCATTGGCTTCTCTCTCATAACCAATTTTAGAGTGATAGGCGATGCCAAGTTGATGGCCTAGGTTCTTTTTAGAGTTATGCCAAGTTAGTCTCCTAGGTTCCCTTTCGAGTGAGGTTCCCTTATAATGAAAGGTTACTATCATGTTGGTATAACTTTAAAATGAGTATTGTCTCGTACTTTATAGCCATCTATGTCTTTGAAAGAATCACTATAGGCTTTCCAAGGTGGAATAGCTTTGAAAGACTCGGGATGGTCAATAGCTTAAGGTAGTCTTTCTTTCGGTTGATTTCCTAATTCCAAATCCACTTATTTGGATATTTTATGCACCATTTTAGACATATCATGATTGAAATTACTAATAATATCATTAAATCCCTTTTTAATTTTGGATTTAATATGCTTACTCGACATTTATGAGGGTTTGATTAAAGCCTAAATGGGCTTGTGTTTTGGTAGCCTAGAAGGCATGTATCTCATTCTTAATTTCAATGATTGTTTTATGTCTTTCTTAGTTATTAGACTCTAGTAGAGTGTGTGTTATCCTATCATAGGCATTCAATAACTCCTTATAATAATGTTGTATGGTTTTCGTTTTATGCATTTTTTGTTCTCCCAACTATTCCATA